GTCTCACTGCCTTGAACTTTGATGATAGAGGTAACCTATAGAAGGGTCTAACTCCCTTCTCATTGATCTGTACAGAAACCTGGCCCTGGATTCAGGAAAGTTGAGGGAAGAGATCCAGCGGGAGCTGAGGTTCCAGCTGTTGCTTACCCTTGCCCCATATCATCCATCACTAGAGACTGTTAGAAGCTGCAGTGGTATCTGACACCTGACCCAAACCTTCAAGGTGTAATGGCTGATGTTCCAATTCTACTTTCCAGATCTCAACAGTGTTTATTTGATCACCCCTGGCCTAGAACTGCAGCAAGCTATGAGGCTATCTGTCAGTCTACATCAGTGGGCAGATCTAGAGGAGAGGAAGTAAGGAAATGGCCCTGTGTAAGGTAACATGGTATGCAATTCTCCAAGGAGCATCTCCATCTTAAGAAATGGCAATTTCATCATGCTAGGAGTCGGGGGTCTTATTTAGAAAAGTGTCTGTTCATGAACTGTGTTCATTTATGTCTGATTGTTCATTCATTTCTTATTGTCAAACTTTAACAGCTGGTTGTGAATTGAGTGTAATAGTCTTTTGTCAGTGAAGGTTTGCTTTTCTGTATTCATTTTGGCAAACCCTCTGAATGGTAGGTATTCTAAACATTAATCAAAAATCAATTTGTTCAATTACAGGTACCCTTCTAGCTATGGAGGTAACCAAATTAGTCAAAAAGAATTTTAATTTTTACAGGGGACCAATGGTAAATCAGCTAATATCAAAGTATTTTCTTTATATAGCTTTAAACAAAAAGAGTACTCTGCAAAAAATAAGCAAATTCATATCATTTACAGATGACCATACTGGTTGAGAACTGATTTTGCCCAGGGTTGTTTGCTTAAGGCAATGGAGCTCCCATTCACCACTAATGGTGTTATTTAGGTTTGCTCCCCTGGTTTTCACTAAGATCCTTTTGTTCGATGGGAAATGCTAGGTCATAAAATAGAACATGTATAAGAAAATGAATTTTCTTGTCTCATGAGAAAAATACATATCTCTATGAACTCTAGGTAGAAGAAGATATTTGGCTGCTCTATAAATCATTTTAGTTATTTTTTTGTTTCAGAAAAGGAAGATGGACCCAAAGGAAATCAGTTTTACAAAACGTGTTCATCCTTCTCTTGATCAGAGGTGTGCATTTCCTGTTTTGAGGCTTTCCACAGAAGATTAAAAGTTGATCTCATGGCCTGAGTTGGTTTTTCCTGTCAAACAACAAAAGAAGAAAAAAGAAAAGAAAAGAATCAGTCAAGACATAGTTTAGGAGTTTCACCTGTTACTCCCATATGACAGCGCTTTTGAATCTGTGAGGTCTTGAATGTTCACTATTAATGCCAACAAGTTCTGACAGGTCACCTGTAAGACTCCCATCTGTAATCATGCAGATGGACTTAGGAAGGGCCAAAGGAAGCTGTCAGGGTGGGCTTTATTCTTCCAGAGAACCCAGGCTTGATTCCCAGCGCTCGTGTCAGGCAATCTGTGACCACATCTCCAAGAGGTCCTATACCGTTTCCTGGACTCCATGGGCGGCCACACCCATATTACATATGGTAGACACAGACAGAAGACACACATACACAAATAGAAATAAATCTTTAAATCTAAAAAAGAAAGGAAAATATAAGGGAATTACTCTGTTTTGCTCATAGTCCTAGTAGAGAGATACAGATGAGAAAAATAAATGGGGATGGGTAGCTAGACCAAGTTTTGAGACTTTTGGGAAAATGGGGGAGGCAAGGGCTGTTTCCAGGAGGACCACAGAGTTTGGAGGTTAACATGGGAGAAATAGAATTGCCTAGAGTTACACAGACACGTACAGATTCAAGCCTCAGAAGCTTTGTCAGACTCGTAGCGATTATCTTGAGGGATGCTACAGGAATGCTCTTGTGTTTGTATCATCCAGGCATACAAACACTGCACATTCCTAGCGTGCTTTGTACTTCCCAACGTCTGTTCACCGTGCCTTGAAACCAAAGAGGATGACCAGCAGGAGTCCTGTCATTCCCATGCCCAAGAAGAAGGCCAGCAGCAGGAGACCTACCTCAGACTTAGTACCTCAGCTCGCACTACTCTCTTAGCTCAATTGTCATGTTTACTTGCCACATCAACAAAATATTCAACTTTGCAGACAGAGCCTGAGGACACCCTAGGGACCTCATCTGTTGGACAGACCTCCAGGGCTCTTCATGTTTTAACAGGTCTCAGAGCAAAATGTGAGCACCCTATGGGGGGAACGACTGGAATTTCAAAAACGTGCAAAAGACACACGCACAGGCCAGCCTGAGTACAGGCCTTAGGCAACAGCTTCTTGCCTGATTCCAGGGGCCTTGCTCCAAAGTCACGTCTTCTCCGGTTTGATATATCAGAGGTCAGAATCGAAGTTTCAAACTAGGGGCTCTGTGAACAAATTCCAGAAGGTCTTTCCTGAGATCTTGGGGATCTTAATTACTTCGTTTTAAGGGTGCACAGTGTAGGAGGTGAGAAGCCACAGGGTATCTGAGGAGACACAAAACACATCCTGAGGAAGCAGACACATTTCACCTACCTTACTACTTTCTCATTAAATGGAAGAAAAAAAACCACCACCATCCAGGAAAAGACCATGTGCCATGAGGAAGGTGGGATGCGGGGACAAAATGAGTCAGTTGGCCAGACCCACAGTCTATGGCAAATTGGCACCCCTGGAAAGCCACCAATTGACCAGGAAATCATGTCACTAAATCTTCTTTCCCCACGCCTGAAGACCAGATGCCATTTTCCAGCCATTTCCATTTGTAGTTTCTCTGATGGTGTGATACTCCAAGGATCTGTGGATTATTAAAGAATGAAGAAGTCAACTGATAGGTTAGCCCATGCAGAAAAGGCAAATCAGGATCACACAGGTCCCCATTGCTGCTGGTCAGTCTGCCCAGTGGCCCAATAACCAGGTGAGTTTCTTTTGGAAAATTAGAGTCTTAATATCAGGGTTGGTAAAAAAAAAAAAAACAAAAAAAAAACAAAAAAAAAAACGTTCTGGAATTCATTTTAGAAAGAACAGGGTTTTTTTTGGGGGGGGGGTGATCTCTTCAGTGAACATACCCACCCCTGCCTATCTGTATTACTATCTCATTCATTTTTATGAGTCCTGATGAGCCTGGAGAGTGACGTCACTGTTGTCAGTGATGGGGAGGTTTGACTTTTCTTTCATTAATAAGAATTTTCTCCTGAGTCACAGCAGATGATTTACTGTCTGTCAGGAAGGACCTTAAACTCATAATAGTAGGTCCTCCATAAATAGAAGCCATACGTCACAGAAGATGGGAACGGCCTCCTAGGGCATAGAGAAGCGAACATTTGCAGAAAAACTAATCAAAATTGTTCCACTTGATGGTGCTTGACGTCATCCTCTGGAGCAGAGCTAGTCACTGCAGTCACCTGGGAAGAGCTGAAAAACAGCAGCATGTATTCTTCAGAAATTCTGCTTCAAAAACCATGCTGGTGACTGCGTAATGGTCACTTTCAAAACCTTTGTAAGTCATTCTATCTAATATACTAATACAATTGAAAACCAACCTTAGGTACTGGCCATACCATGAACATGCCGTTTTGTCTGATCTTGGAAGCTAAGCAAGTTTAGCCCTGGTTTAGTAGTTAGATGAGAGAAACAACCTTAATAGTTTGATTGCTTTTCCTATTTCTATTCACCTCTTCTAGACCAAGCTAGTCCAGTTTCTCTATATCACAAATAAAAGTACATTTATTTATTCCGTGTGTGTGTGTGTGTGTGTGTGTGTGTGTGTGTGTGTTGGGTCTGTGTGTGCCACTATTTGTGTGTAGAGGTCAGAGGTTCTCTCTTTCCAGTATGCGGGTCCCAGGGATTGAACTCAGGTCATCATGTGGCAAGTGCCTATACCCGCTCATCTATCTCGCCAGTGTAAATGATTTTCTTAGGTGCCCAAACTAGATCTAATGACAGGGTGTGGCAACAAAACTTGTAATCCTAGCACTTGGGAAAACTGAGACCAGAAGATCAAGAGTTCACGGCTGTCCTGGGCCACACTGCAGCAAGACCTCATTTAAAAAAAAAAAAAAACAAACCAACCAAAAATGGCTGGAAGATGGTACAGTGGGTAAAAGTGCATTCTGTGCAAGCACGAGGACCTGAGTTTGAATCTCCAGAACCCAGAGAGAAGTAAGACATGCCAACAGGAACGTCTGTGACCCATGGCTCCTAAAGGGAGAGAAAGGATTCCCAGAAGCCAGAGGGACAGTTAGCCTGGCATATGCAACCGAAAACCAGCTGACACCCTGCCTCAGGCAAGGTGGTAAGCAGACAGTGACAGCCTTGGGCTGTTCTCTGACCTCCGCACGAATGCTGTGGCATTCATGAGTCCACATATTCTCCCTCTCCCCCCCACATATCCTCCCTCTCCCTCCACATTGTCCCCTTGTCCCCCACATACCTCCCCCCGAAGTCTTAGAACTCATTCTCTTTCTGTCTTCCATTTTTTTTAAAGGAATCATTTCTTTTAATTGAATACTTCATTCAGACCACATCCCCTTCTGGATGCTTTTCAGGCAACCATTTGGTCCCCACTTCTCAAGAATGTTACAACTGACTGTATTGAGTGAGCAGGAGCCCCAAATCAGGCCTTTGAAACTGTAAAACAAGCAGCACCTTCCCCCAAACCACCCTCTCCTTTCACTTAGCAAGGAACGGGGAGTTAAAGGATCCAAATTCTACTTTCCAACTGTAGACACCCGAGAACCTGGATGCACTGCAAACAGCACAAGCTAGCATATCAGAGATGAAGCAAGGCAGCCCCTACACACTTCAAGGCGAGGCTCTGATCGCTCCTCCCACAGGAACGGCCTCTACTTAATTTCCCAAAGACTTATAAAATCTACCAAAAGGAACACAATGGATCAGCATAAGTCGGCTTACTCACGAGAGACTTTCTTGAGTAACAACTTTTGACTGTTGAGAATGTCACGTTTTTTTTTTCAAGGCAGCAAAGTCCAGGGCACTCGAGAGGACAGTTGAGCAGCGACCTAGTGTGCTGGGGGTAGGTTTATGTAGGGTGCAGGCGCACACCACACACACCGCTTTTCTTCAGGGTATATGGCAAGCCGCCAAGACCCCTGATCATCAAGGTAAGTTATTGTCTATAGGACAGAGCGTAGAACAGCAGAGGGAAAGGTGCTTTCGTGGAGGGCTATCGGAAGGCGGTTATTGTGCAGAAAGTCCTGAGGCTTAAGCAAAAGGGCGGCGGCAGCTGGGGACTGGGACTTCTAGATACTTGGCTACTGCTTGGTGGCAGCAGAGGCCTCAGTGCCAATTGCTTCCTCCACCGATTGTGCTGGCTCCTCTTCTTCCTCCACTTCGTAGTAGCCAACCTCGTAGTAAACATCCTCGTCCTCCTCCTCCTCCTCCCCATAGTAGTCAATCTCGTAGTAGATGTTCTCATCTTCCTCCTCCTCCTCATAGTAGAAGTCGCCCTCTTCGTAATAGTCGCTCTCCCACTCTTCAGCCCCTTCGTAGTAGACATCGTCTTCCTCTCCCTTCACATAGTAGCTATCGTAGTAGTTATCCTCCTCCTCCTCACTCTCTTCTTTGTCCTCCTCGCCCTCCTCGCCATCTTCGTCCTCCTTGTCCTCCTTGTCCTCCTTGCCCTCCTTGCCCTCCTCGTAGAAGTTTCCCTTGTCCTCATCCTTGTTCTCACCGTTGGCCTCATTCTCCTCTTGGGGATAGACGGCTGGATACGTCTGCACGCACTCCCGCATGGCTTGGAACTGCTCTACGCAATCTGACCCCTTGATTTCGTCCGTGCTGTAATGGAAGCAGGCGAAGGCAGATTTGAAGGATTCTCCACAAGGACCGCTGGCCATCCCCCCAAAGCACGGGCAATTCCAGTTAATTTCTCCACTTGGCAGTGTCAAGCGGTACTCCTCATAGGGATCATTGGGGTCGTCGACCACCAGCTCTGCGTTGCTGGGACTTTCGTGGTCTTCTTTGGTCACAAATATGATTTGATCCTTCCCTTCCTGCTGGCAGTAGGCCATGGTAGCTCTGGGTGTTGGTGCTCAGTGCTGCTGGTTGCTACTGACTAGCAGCTTCAAGTTCACAGCTCACTGCTCACAAGGCTGGAGGGAGTGGCTGTCTCTGTTACACCTTCAGGCTGTGACCTCCTCCCTCTCTGCTCCTCGGCCTGGAGGCGTGGAGGGCGGTTCTAAGGCCCGCAGATGCCCGCCCCTTCCAGGCCGGCTCCGCTGGCCCTCAGTATTTTTTCAAAGGAAAACATAATCCCCTGCGGTTTTGATGAGTACTCCTCAAAGGTCCATGTGTAAAAGTTGGGTCCCCAGCGTAGTGCTATTTATTGGACGGTTCCGGTGAATCTTTAAGCATTCCTGTAGAAACGACTGGAAGACCCTTAGGTTACTGAGGGTATTTCCTGGAAGGGAATAATGAGTCTGAACTCATCCAGGCCCTTTGCATCCTGGGTCATGGTGTGACCACGGTTTCTCTGGTTATGTGCATGTGTCACCTGTCACCGTCATCCACTGGAGCTGCCCAATCTTAGGTTTGAATCTCCAGAACCATGAGCCAAAATAGAGCTCTCTTTACTTCCTAAGTTCCCTGGATCAGGCATTTTGTTGTAAAGCTGTCTTATGCGATTCTTCTTTATCTGTACATGAGCTAATTGCAAACTTGGCTGGCATAAGCTTGTTAAAATGAACGTTCCCGGCTTCCGCAACTGAACATGATTGTTGGGTAGGTCAGTGGAGGTACTTGGAAGCTGAATTTTAAAGTAGTTCACTGATCAATAGGAACAGGACAGTTTTCTAATTTGGAAATAAAGAGGTTGTGGATATAAGTTAGAGGAAGTAGGAGTTCTTTAATGGCAGCACAAAGGAAAATGGGTATTTCCTTTCAGTTATTTTTCTTCTGATGCCAACTCTGCTTTATCAAAAGGTAGGCCTGAACTGCGAGCCTGTATTTCTTATTTTGTTTGATTACTGTTGTTTTAAAATTAAAGAGGTGGTCCTTAATGTCCCTCCACCCCCCCCCAAAAAAAAACCCATGGACATGCCTTTTATTTTTTAATTTTGCAAGTAGAATTCAAACAGTTAGAGCTTCCAGAATGGACAATGACTTGGCGAGCACTGTGACCCAGAACGATGACATACAGCCTAGCCCACAGTCATTGTGCTGTCCAGCCTAAGTCTGGAGTTCCTGGGGGGGGGGGAGCGAAACCACTGAAGGCTTACGTGACTCAGCTGAAGTGCAGCTCAACCATCACTTGCCTCAAAAGCCCTGACTGAGCCCGTGACTCACAGAGGCATGCTCTTCAATTCCACGCTCTGAGACATCTTTGCTCAGGGACGGTGTTGAAAAGCTTCGGAAGGAATCCGAAACTTCAGGCTTGACATTCTGCTCTTTCACCTGCTGTCAGTACAACTATGATAAAGTCATTGCGAGTCTCACATCCACAGCTGTACAGAGGGGACAGTGCAATCCATCCTACCTAGCTAAGGAGAGTGGGCTCCCCCCATTTCACAAGTATTACCAAGATCGGTCGGACCTTGAGCTGGCTGACAGCCACAGGGGCGGGGTGGTCCCTGAAGTGGTTGCATCCTGAAACACCACCAAGGGTGGCTGCGGTGAAGTCAGGAGCCTTCTGTGGCACAAGACTTGGGTTTTCTTCCACAGTAGTGATAATGGAACAGCTTAGGCAGCTGGCCAGATTAGAAACCCGGAAATATTTATGCGATGAGCGAAACTAAAGCAACCAGTCAGTCATTTGACACATCTGCCCAGCGCTGAAAAGACAACCTTCCTTCCTCCCTCTCTCCCTTCCTCCCTCTCTCCCTTCCTCCCTTCCTCCTTCTCTCCCTTCCTCCCTTCCTCCATCTCTCCCTTCATTCCTTCCTTTCTCCCCCACCCACCTTTAAAACTAGCATGGTAGCAGAAGCCTGTAATATTAGAATTAGGAGACAGAGACAGGAGGATTAGGAGTTCAAGGCCAGCTTCAGTTAGGTAGCAAGTTCTGGACTATCCTGGGTATGTGAGGCCCTGTATCAAACAATAAGATCAAAGGTTCTAGTCAGGTGACTCCGTGGGTGAAGGCACTAGCTGCAGAAGCCTGGTATCCAGGACCCTCCTCTGCTGTGTTCTGCCTTCTTCTCTCAAGCCTTTGCTAAGCTCGGAGCTCACTGTTCTTTGGCTAGGCTGGTGGCCAGCACACTCCAGAGAGCCTCCTGTCTCCCTCCCACCCAAGCACCAGCACTATGGTTACAGGTTCACAGGGTCACACCTGACGTTTTGTGGGGGTGTGGATAATCTGAACTCCTGTCCCCATCCTCGTACAGCGAGTGCTCTTACCCACTGAGCCATCTCCTCAGCTCAGCTTTCTTTTCTTTTTAAAGGAAAGATTACAGATAGTATCTTCATAGAAAATTATTTTTGAGTTAGCATAAAAAGTTTCACTGTGGGATTTTCATGCATACTTTTTTGTTGATCTTTATAACTGCTTTAAATATTTTTATTTATTGTGTGGCAATTTCATACATGTATAATCCTAACTTTTGTCAAAAACAGTAATTGGAAATGAATGTTTCCTTTTCACCAAACAGTGATGGGAAAATTGGATGCCCATATATAAAAGAATAAAGTAAGACATATATCTCTTACTCTGCACAAAAAGAGGAATTCAAAATGGATAAAAGCTCCCAGTATAGGGGCTGGAGAGATGGCTCAGTGGTTAAGAGCACTGACTGCTCTTCCAGAGAACCCGGGTTCAATTCCCAGCACCCACATGGCAGCTCACAACTGTCTTAAGATCCAGTTGCAGGGGATCTGACACCTTCACACCAATGCACATAAAATAAAGTTAAATAAACCATAAAAATGTTAAAAAAGATCCCAGTATAAAACCCTAAACACTGGAACTTCCCAATGAACATATAGCGAAAACAGTTCAAAATACAAGCATAGGCAAACACTTTCTGAAAAGAACCCCAGTTGTACAGGAAAGAAGTTCAGGGGCTGACAAATGGGATTGGATGAAATCAGAGAGCCACCATAATTTATTGCACTCCTTGATTGATTTATTCGAATAAAAAAGTTATCAAGATTATTAGGTGCTGAGAAGCTGGCTTAGTCAGTAAAGAGCATGTCGGGTGAGCAAAAAGACCTGAGTTCTGATCCCTAACACTCACACAGCTGAATGCTGTGTGTGCCTGTAATCCCAGGGCCGAGGAGACAGAGGTAGGAGAATCCCTGGAACTTGCTGTTTAGCTAATCAGTGAGGCCCAGCTTCAATGAGAGACTCTCAGAAAATAAGGTGGTAGCTTTGTTCATGTGTTCTTTTGTGCAACACCAATATTATTCTTTCCCCAGCACAACTAACCAACAGCTCAAGGAGAAACAGTTAAGGATCATGAAAACGCCCTGTTGTTTATGAAGATCTCCCCTAGAGTTAGTATTTGCCAATGGTTCTTGTCTGCCTGCTTATTCTTGGCTATGATGGTTGCCGTATGATCATTTCCCACAGTTCCTCTTTTCTGAGATTCCGCACTGAATACTTATTAGCCCTTGACATTAAGCTGAAAGCAAGCCCTCCTTCTCTCCGTTTATCTGCTTATCTGGCCAATCAGAACAGACATATGTTCCTATATTTCCATGGCTTTATAACTTAGTACTGAGCTTCATAAGTTTGCTTTGGTGCTATGATTTGCCTCCTCTGTCCTTGAAGAAGGACACCATCTTGTTTTTTTAAAATATTTATTTATTTATTATGTATACGATATTCTGTCTGTGTGTATGTCTGCAGGCCAGAAGAGGGCACCAGACATCATTACAGATGGTTGTGAGCCACCATGTGGTTGCCGGGAATTGAATTCAGGACCTCTGGAAGAGCAGGCAATGCTCTTAAACACTGAGCCATCTCTCCAGCCCGAATGTCTGCATCTTTTTTCCCCTGTCACTTTCTTCCTTCCTAGCACATAAAAAATATTCTATGCTCCCCTTATGTCTACCATGATCTGTCCCAGAAAGCAGCAGGATCAAACAAACCTCTGATAAACCTCTGACATCCACAGCTGGTTGCATCTGAGACCAGCCTTCTAGCAGTCTTGTGTGTGTATGTGTGTGCAGACACGCGTGTGCACGCGTGTGCGTGAGAGACCAAGCATGCATGCATATGGATGCCATAGACTGGCATCTAGTGCCTTAATCGACCACTTTTTAACCCCCTATAGGCGATTACAATAAAGCAGTCCCACACTAGCTCAGAATGGAGTGTAGTAAAGGGTTCTTTATTTAGTACATATGGCCACACCCAGGGTGTGCCAGTATCTTAAAGGCTGAAGGAGTTCCCACAGCACCCCCTCCTTTTTTTGAGACAGGGTTTCTCTGTGTATCCCTGACTGTCCTGGAACTTACTGTGTAGACTATGCTGGCCTCGAACTCACAGAGATCCACCTGCTTTTGCCCTCCTCCATCCAGGTCTAGGAAGGTGAGCATCCAAACTGGCTAGGCTCCCACAAAGCCAGTACATACAGTAGGATCAAAACCCAGTGCCATTGTCCTTGGCTTCTCAGTAGTCCTCATTGTCCGCCATGTTCAGAGAGGCCGGTTTGATCCCATAGTTTTTCAGTCCCCAGTCCAGCTGGCCTTGGTGAGCTCCCAATAGATCAGCCCCACTGTCTCAGTGGGTGGGTGCACCTCTCACGGTCCTGACTTCCTTGCTCATGTTCTCCCTCCTTCTGTTCCTCATATGGATCTTGGGAGCTCAGTCTAGTGCCCCAGTGTGGGTCTCTGTCTCTATCTCCATCCATCGCCAGATGAAGGTTCTATGGTGATATGCAAGATATTCATCAGTATTGCTATAGGATAGGGTCATTTCAGGTTCCCTATCCTCAGCTGCCCAGGGAACTGGTTGGGGACATCTCCATGGACACATGGGAACCCCTCTAGAGTCAAGTCTCTTGCCAACCCTAAAATGGCTCCCTTAATTAAGATATATAGTTTCCTGCTCCCATATCCACCCTTCCTCCATCTCAACCAT